TGCCTAAGTCTAGTTTGATGTTTCGGGTACCGTTCGTAGGATAAAAGAGTCTTGTGTATCGCATGCTAGTTGAATTGGTATCCCGTTGGCCTAGGTGGAAGAAGTATGAACCCCTTAGGACTATTCCTATCATGTGGATGACCACGCATAGGTTTCATTATACGTTTTCTCCCCTTTCCCAATGTGTTAACGTGTGTTGCATGTGCTTGCTATGAGTTATGTGTGCATGATACCCCAATTTGGTTGTGATCAAATTGGTTATTCCTGAGCTGTGGTTCAGAAGCTGGCTGCGGTAAAAAATACTCATTGGGTTGCGGTCCACCGTTTGGTTGCGATCAAACGTTTTACATGAGCTGCGGTTCATATTCCTGACTGCGGTCAGATGTTTACTTTTGGGCTGCGGTCCACTGTTTGGTTGCGATCAAACATTATGATGAGCTGCGGTTCATCGGTCGGTTGCCATCGACCCCTTCATGTTGCGATACGAGGCAGGGTGCTGCGGGGCTGTGTTAGCGCTATATGCGCTGACCCTCATGTATGGGCATGCGATTGGTCCTGTGGTGCCACCAAAGTGTGCTTATGTGATAAGATATGAATTGAATGATGATATGAATGATGTGAAATAAGCTTGTGACCTTAGAGACACTAGTTATAATCAAGCATATAGAGACACTAGCATATATCCTAAGATCACAAGCTTATTTCACATCATTCATATCATCATTCAATCATTATCTTATCACATAAGCACACTTCGGTGGCGCCACAGGACCAATCACACGACCATACATGAGGGTCAACGCATATAGCGCTAACACGGCCCCGCAGCACCCTGCCTCGTTTCACAACATGAAGGGGTTGATCGCAACCAACTGATGAACCGCAGCTCATCATAACGTTTGATCGCAACCAAACGGTGGACCGCAGCCCAAAAGTGTATTTCTGATTGCAACCAGATTATGAACCGCAGCTCATGTAAAACGTTTGATCGCAACCAAACGGTGGACCGCAACCCTATATAATATTTATATACTTGACCGATCGCAACCGGCCTGGATAACAGTTGGTATGGTTCTCAACCCATCCAACTGCCCGTATAGCCAATTTGATCGCAACAAAATTGGGGTATCATGCACACATAACACATAGCAAGAACATGCAACACACATTGGGAAGGGGGAGAAAACGTATAACGAGACCTATGCGTGGTAATCCACATACTAGGAATAATCCTAAGGGGTTCATACTTCTTTAACCTAGGCCAACGGGGTACCAATTCAACTAGCATGCAATACACAAGACTCTTTTATCCTACGAACGGTACCCGAAACATCAAACTAGACTCAGGCACAATAAACGGAGTCCGTTGGGACACTACGAGGGTTGGGGAAACATCAAACGGGGAAACCACCATCCCACATTAAGATTTTCCAGCAGGTGGAGGACCACCCGCCGGCGGTGAGTCTCTTGGCAGCGGGTACCCGGTCGGCAGTCGCCTGCCCGCCGGCTGCCCACTGCCGGCGATGCCCTTAGGGGCAGCGGGTAGGTGGCGGGTTCCCTTACCCCCACCTACCCCCCACTGACTCTTTTTCAATACTTAGGTCCCGGGATCTTTCGTGGAACCCGAAACCATGTTTAGACACTTTTAAACACAAACGACGACACCACGTAGTCAAATAATGGATCAAAACCAAGAATCGTATTGAACATATCCTAACATGACTTCTAAACATAAACAACAGCCGAACATGCGAAATCCCACCAAAATATACCAAGAATATTACAAAATCATACTTTCATCTTTAAAATCAATAACATCAAGATTTATCAAGAACAACACACAATTATGAAGATCCTCTTATAATCATCAAGATTATAAAGATCAACACATAAGATCATCTCATCAACATCAAGACCATATCATAATCGTCATAAAAGACTGAGTAAAAGACATATTTGGTCCTAGACTTATAGTGGCTTGGACAATTTTAGTCCTTTATAAAAAAATTTACCATTTTATGGACAGAGTTATTGTGGCGAGGACATTTTTGGTCCTCCATCTATATTTCGAGGACATTTTTGGTCCTCCGTCTATATTTCTGTTAGATAACCGTATGAGAGAGGGGAAATTACGTCAATTTAGGCTATCTCCTTCTATCTATTATATCAATGTGTGTTTGGCGGCTTCGATTCTCCTTCTATCTATTTGATTAGTAGCCTGTTTGGCAGCTTCGATTCTCCGGCAATTTCTTCGTACAACTGCAACTTGGACTCTCCGACTCCTTCGAATTATGACCGAGAAGAAAACAAAACACACATAGATATAATAGATAGAAGGAGATAGCCTAAATTGACGTAATTACCCCTCTCTCAGACGGTTAGCTAACATAAATATAGACGGAGGACTAAAAATGTCCTCGCCACAATAACTCTGTCCATAAAATGGCAAATTTTTTTATAAAGGACTAAAATTGTCCAAGCCACTATAAATTTAGGACTAAAAATGTCTTTTACTCTAAAAGACTTATCAAGACACAAGTAGAGAGAAGAAGCCAAAGAAGAAGATTATAGCAAGGAAAATAGGTTTTGTTGAGACATGGGTTACCTCTTAGCCTTAATTAGAATCCTTGGCTACTAAGGTTCTTTCTCTAAGATCTCCTCTTCTTGATTTCTCCTATGTTTGGTGGTTGGGGATTTTTGGGAATTATTGTGTGGTGAAATCTATTGTGGTGTGAATTTTAGGTGCCTCCTATTGCCCTATATATATCTAAGAGTCCTAATTGGGGTCTGAATGGTATGGGTTTACTAATTCTATTTCTTATAGGACTAAGGGTTTGGGTTAGGGATATGGGGCCATGGTCTATGGTGGACCCTTCCTAATTAATTTTGATGAAATTTAATTCTCTTTTTTAGGGTAAGTAATTAAATAATTAATTTGATTTAAAGGTCGTAACACGAGGTGTTACATATATACTTATGAAACTCTTATTTAAAACCAAGGACCGACTAAATCAAGCAATGGCATACACATTCAATCTAAATATTCATACACATAAAGATTCTAGCACGTGTCCTAAGGTCACAAAACTATCCAATATCAATCATATCAATATCCAATTACTAATTCAGTCACAATCAACAATAAGACATGTATGCACATATGGTGGTGCCGCAGGACCCTTCACATGCTCATACATGAAGGTTAGTGCATATAGCTCTAACATGGCCCCGCAGCACAGGGAGATTGATCGCAACCAATCACTGAACCGTAGCTCATTTATAAACGTTTGATCGCAACCAAACGGAGGACCGTAGCCCTATTATCATGTATATCTGATCGCAACTAGATTATACACCGCAGTCCTATATGTAACACCCCGTGTTACGACCTCTAACCCAGACTTGTTATTTAATTGCTTGCCATTAAAAGAGGTTTAAATTCCCTTAATTAATTAAGAAGGGGTTTACCATGGATCATAGACCCTTATCTCTAAACCATAACATTGATCCTATATGGATTAGAATAAGTGAATCCTTACCTTTCAGACCATACTTAAGACTCTTAAATATATATATATATATATATATATATATATATATATATATATATAAGGACCTAGGAGGAACCTAGAAATTCCACCATAATAGATTCAACCACACAAGAATTCCCATATCACCAAACGTAGGAGAAATCACGAAGATGAGATCTTAGAGAAAGAACCTTAGTAGCCAAGGATTCTAATTAAGGGTAAGAGGTAACTCATGTCCCAACAAAACCTATTTTCCTTGCTATAATCTTCTTCATTGGCTCCTTGATATATGATTTTGTGCTCGAGTCTTTATAAGGCATTGCCTGAGATTGATCTGGTGTTTATGAGATAATCTTGATGTTTATGTGTTAATCTTGATGGTTATGTGATAATCTTGATGTTCTTGATTCTATGATAAAATATATAAATGATCTTGAGTTTTAATTATGACTAGAGCCCTAGGGTTATAACGTGGATTTCGTATTGTGTTATTCTTGGTATGTTTGGTGTGGTTCTTGGTTTTAATCTGTTACTTGATTACGTGGTGTCGTTGTTTATATTTCAATGTGTCTGGACATGGTTTCGGCTTCTACGAGGGATCCCGGGACCAATTTATTACATAGGAGTCAGTGGGGGGTAGGTGGGGGCAGGGGTACCCGCCACCTACCCGCTACCAAACACCCTCTTTCCAGCGGCAGTCGGCGGGATGGCGACTGCCCGCGGGGCACCCGCTGCATTGTAGTTGGCCGCCGGCGGGTGGCCCTCCAGCCGCCGGCCACCCGCTGGAACTTCGGTACGAAGCGCGATGTTTTTCCCCATTTGATGTTTCCCCGTGTCCCGTTGTGTCCCGTCGTACCCCGTTTGTCGTATACGAGTCTAGTTTGATGCATCGAGTACCATTCTTAGGATGAAAGAGTCTTGTGTATTGCATGCTAGTCGAATTGGTATCCCATCGGCGTAGGAGGAAGGTGCATGACCCCTTAGGCGTGTCTCGGGTCGTTTACTGTGGTTGGCCACGCATAAATTATATCACTACAAGAAAAAACGCGAATCGCGACGGACAATATTCCGTCGCAATTTAGCGACCGAAAATGCGACCTAATACATTCCGTTGCGAAATGACGATGGAAAAGGCGACGGAATCAAATTTCGTCGCGAATCTTGGCGCAAAAATAAAATAAAGCCCGCGAAATATTGACGGTAAAATATTCACGATCGAATTTACGCACGGGAAAGACTACCAATTTTCGTTCCGTCGCAAAATGGCGACGAAAATTGCGACCAACTAGATTCCGTCGTTAAATGAATGAAGTTTTGTTGTATTGACTGAATATTGCGACGGAATTAACGATAGAATTTATTCCGTCCCAATATTTTTTGTCAAATTTTATTTTTTTTCCTACTTAAAATTAAAAAAGAATAAAAGCTAAGTGTGAAATCTCCTCAAGAACACTCCAGAATGCAGAATAGTCGACGCAGCCATCGCAGAACACAGCAGAGCACCGCCATCGCCATCGCCGTGCAGCCGTCGCCATCGCCATCGCCATCGCCGTGCAGCCGTCGCCATCGCCATCGCCATCGCCATCGCCGTGCAGCAGAACTCCGTCGCAGTCGCCTCCTCCTCCGTCTATGACTGCCTCCTCCTCCATTTGTGACTGGTAAATCTTCAAATAATTCCTCATTTCATCCTCCGGCTGTGAATGATTTTAGGTCAAATAGAATTGAATAGGTCATATAGAATTGATAGAGTGCCCTCCGTCGGTTGAATCCACCATCTGATGAATTATTCATAACACTAATTTTTTATGATTTGAAATCTGTTGAACCCTCCATGGATATAATACGAAACCTTTTTTATTTTTTTGTTTTTTTTGTTTTTTTTGTTTTTGTTTTGTGGATCGTTGTGCTTCAAGATAATACAGTATATAATTTTTGGATAATTGACATTCAAGATAACAGATTTGCTAGGGTGAGGATTTGACCCTTTTATGGATTATTGGCATTCAAGAATTATTGCGATGAAAATTTGAGCTCAAACCTGACTAGTTGTTAGTATGCCGATTCCCCCAGTGTGTTTTGTTTTTGCTTCAGTAAAATCAAAATGGAAGTTTATTTATTTATTTTTATTGATCAATATATATATATATATATATATATATATATATATATATATATATATCCAGTTTCTTAGTTGGCAGTGATGTTAATATGATAAAGTTCTACTTCTGCATTTCCATTTTTTAAGCTAGAAATTATTTCTGCACACATCACTAAGTTTTGAATATTCTGGTGGAAAGTCAATTTTGTTCTGCAGGCTTGTTTATATTGGTATAATTTTATTAACAAGGCTGCCTTGTGTTACTGAAATTATATGAAAGAAAATTTCCAGAGCTTGTGCATTGTAGGAATAATGGTTCATCTTTCTAGGAGATAATAACATAACAAATGGTGAAACTTTTGAGCGCCCATCGCAAAGGAAAGCAACAATACCATGGAACTCAGTTATGGTGAACGCAAGTATAAAGAGTCCATATGTGGTCACCATAATATTTCTCAACATTACTCGATGCAGCAGGTATTATCTGTTAGATATACAATAGTCTAACTATATGAACCATAATATACGAGAAACCTAACCTCGTATGATAGCGGAAGCGTAGCCGTGTTGATCTCCAGCCATAGTTGATGTTCTTGTTGTGTTGCCTCTTAACGGTAGACCGTCAGCCATGTTTTGCCTCAGACCTGACTCAGAACCCTAGATGGTGTATTGGTATCTACTGAGCGGTCTGAGTACCGTAACTGAATGTGCTAACTAATCCATAATCCTGTATCCCATCAATCCAGGTTATATTAGGCACAGAGTTTGGTTGACTAACAACTACTAGTTATTAAGTCCAACTAGACCACTTAATAAACCTAGTCAACTTGCACCACTTAATTAAGGCCCCAATATATAATATACAATATATATTATTAGGGAAAATCTTACATTCTCCCACTTGGTGCAAGTACTAGCACAACCTTCACCAAAGAACAAAATACACGAATCATAGTGACATGTCCTCTATTTAATCCGAGTAGTGTCCATTATGGTCACATGCATTTTAATTCTCCAACTTAGGTCCTTAATGAACAAACCCTATGTTTATTCTCGGTACCTTAAGGGATGTTTCTCAAAATACATTATGTGCACAACTGAAGGAGAAAACACATCCAAATTGTACAAAAGAGTACACTGTATGATCTCTAAAACTTTATAAGCATGCCTTAAGTAGAGATCTCTTCATGTTAGCATAATGCTTACTATATTCCGTGACTTCTTTATAAGTTAACTTTAAGTACTATCTCTAACGGCTAAGAGCTTGGAGTTAACACGTCTGTCACTCCCACTCATCAAAAATAGCCAAAAGATAGTCAAGTCACAGAAGCATTCCAATAACTTAGACAATAAACCAAATGTCCAAGTCCATAAATTTGGAATCTTAAACATACACCATAACTTCTCAAATAACTTCAATGTTCACTTTAAATGAACTGAACATAATGAGTCTTACTTATATGTCTCACAAAATTGTTTTGAGCCTTACAAACTAAAATGGCCCAAGATCAATTTTGAAGAAACTAAAGACTCTATTAATCACTGAAGAATTTAGTAAATGACAGTGCCCCACAAATTAAATGTTTTTGTTCTAATAAATTTCATAGTATTGTTGCAACATTTTCATAAATATGTTGCACAACCGAATGTTCAATAATTTGAACTTATGAATTTATATGAACAAATACAAGATTAATACTTGTGGAATCTTATGGACTTATTGTGTAACACACAATCCAATTTGAAACGTATGAAGCCAATTAAATCCATAAGCTTTAGTGGAGTATCTTAATGATCTTTTTCTAAATGATCACTCCCACTGATTAAAACATTCTTCAGCGAAATTAATAAAATGAACTTAATAATATACATACTCATAATTGATTTATTGACCAACTAACAAATGAAGACATAATTCCCCACCATTAGTTGGACATACTAAATAATCAATTTTTGGTTCCAATTAAAGTCCAACTAAATAATGAAGATATATTTCCCCACCATAGTTGGACATACTAAAAGAAACAAAATACATCTTTCAAAACCAAGATAGAATTTGGCTCAAAAGATACATTTTATCATTATTGGAATCCAAAAGGTATGTCAAATCACGTAACTTACTACAGTTAGTCCGAAAAACCGAGCAAGATTCGTGGATTAATTAATAAAAGTTGCTAAATTTTGGGAAGTGACTGAATACATGTTTTGCCAATGCAAACCATGAAACATAGAATTATAATTGAACTGAATTTATAACTCTAAGAAATTGTGATAAAATTATCATTTAATGGGTGGTGGGATTTATTGACATAAAACTTGCCTTTGGGCTAAAGTTTTAATTCTATTAAATCCAATTAAGAAACCCTTATGATAATATTTTTCACAATTACTAAAGAGTCAGAAGAATCTAGTGACATAAAACTTGCCTGTGGGCTAAAGTTTTACTCAATTAAATCCAACTGAAAAATTTATTTATGATGAAACCATTATCAAATGAGTTGAAGAATCAAATGACATAAAACTTGCCTGTAGGCTAAAGTTTTAGTCAATAAGATTCACTGCTATCATTACGATAAAAAACTTAATCATGTTCCTTTTCTTAATCCCTGTGGGCAAATTAAGAAATATGATCTAAAGTTTACATCATAAAATTAAACTCCATGATAGAATTGGAAGTTATCAAATAAATTGATTTATTTCTATCGTCACTGATAAAACTACTGAACTACATTCCGATACATAATTGCCTGTGGGCTAAATTATGACCGTAGTCCAGTATTTCATCCTGATTAATTATACAAATATAACGAAATTGCCTGTGGGCTAAATTTCATCATATTACATACAATTAATCACAAATGATATGTCTAAAACTTTATGTGATCAAAATAAACCGCTTAATATATAATTTTAACAGATTACGAATGTTGTGGCTACTCCATAACCAAATTAAAATTATAAGATCACTAGACAATTATCAATTCATTGTCTACACTTTATGTGATTGAAACTTAACAATCTTAGGTAGCTGAATATGCTGTAGCATTTCCTTAATTAACCAAGATTGAAAACTCAAGATATTCCAGTAAATTAAAGATGCTTTGGCTATTCTTTAATGAACCGAAATAAAATCACATTGGCAAGGAATACTTAAAATTTTGACAAACAGATTATACCAGATTGTGATGGGAAAATCTAAATATACTCCGAGGAAAGGCGGTTAGAGACTAAGTCTCACTGAAAACCAATTCCTTAAATAGAGTATCAATTTAAGGAGACTAGTGGCACACGATGTCCATTAAAACTAGTATGTCTCCCCGATTCATATATACTTAATGTATAACTGTTTGGGAGTATGAACCTAAAATTGGAGGATATACACCAAAAAACTGAATGGTTCACCTATGATTAAAGCTTAAATGGTGAACTAAATTAGCGGATTAAACGTGCTTAAATTCAGGCACTACCGCAACTGAAGTTTATGCATAAGTCCAACTTAAATAGGAACTAATATAATTCCATCTCAAAGTATGCATTGCTAAAGGCATAATAAATTGCATAATTTAAAACATAATATTATGCTTAGGACAAATATGCATAAGATTAAACATTAAACTCATATATTCCAAATAAATTGCATAACTTAAAGCAATTTACAATATGAGATTTTAAAGTATAAACTTAATATTCAAACACCGATGAGTCCAAACCAAAAGAGACCCAACATTTTGAATAATAATGTACTGAATATATACTTTAAAATTTTTAAACTGTAAGCCCATGGGAAAATATTTTAATGCATAAAGATCAAATTTATGAGAAATAACTGAATTTACAAATTCAAACAATATCAAACCAAAAGGATATGCTAGCATTTGTAAATCAAATTCTCATGAACCCTAATTGCATAATTAAACTTAATATTATGCATTTAATGTGACCGAATGCATAAAACAATCTAAAGAGTATGAACCAACTAAATAATATGAATTTACACTAAATATTCATTTATTCATACTTGATCAAATATGGGCAATCATAACTCAAAGAACTAAATGAATTATGGAATTAATGGCAATAGTCGATTGCCTAGAAAATATGTTTTTCCAAGATTGCTAAATTGATTCAAAATCACTCTCCATAACCCAGTTGATAATATTATTATTATTAATGGCAAAATTGCAAATAACCAAAATAGCAATAAATAGCCATAATAATATTATCACATTATGTAGGAGATTAAATATCGAAAAAACAATGATTAAAACCGCTAACATTTATAAACGTTTTCGGATAAAATTTTTGAAAACTTAATAAAAATTTGAAGTCCGAAAAACATTAATGTCAATAAAATTATTTTCTGTACTGGAGTATTGTCACATAAATTTATTTGGAAACAGTTCAAGGTGCATAACTGAATACCATAACAATATTAATGTCATCATTAATTAACTAATTATTAATAGCAATAAGTAACATTATAATCACTATTAACATTAGTAATGACAAACTAAAGTATGGTAATGCACTTTTAATGTTTTCATTTTTCTAAAGATAAAATATGTGACTAGTCCAAATTAGCGGTTAACTGTAACTGTAGCACTAATTATCAATAATAACCATAAAAGATAACTAATGACTAACCTTAATGATGCAAACCGCATCTACCCATTGCGCTGACAACGATGACGATCCACAAGAGAAGAAAAAATTCCAGAATTCTCCCAATCTTCACTATCGGTGTCAATGAACTCGATGCAGCGTCAAATGGTACGTTAAAAAATTTATTGGTAGCACTTAATTACCAACATTAATAGTCATGTAAAATGAAGTGGTAATCATGCCAATGTACCAAATATAGCAGATTACCATGAATTGATAATTATTATGAAAAGTAATAAAATGAGATTAGCCCCTAAACTTAATAACAGTAATTAATAATGCCGAATTTATTAGCTTAATAAGTGGCAAAACTGTAATTAAGGGATGCCTAATACTAATCTCAATTACCACATAATAATTAACCATGACTATTGTGATACTTAGGGAGACTGAAGTTATGGTAATAACTAAATTACCATTATACAGACAATATACCAACTATATTGCTTTTGCCATAAAATTAAAGAGTTAATATTATTATTAAGGCCTCGCAAAACTATTGATAGATTAAAAAAAAAAAATCAACTTAAACAATAGTTTGTAATTCTTAATGGCCAAAATAACAATTAAATCCTTAATCCTTAATGTCTCAAAATAGATCAAGACAATAATTATAGCACTTAATTACTCAAATTAGGCTCATAAACCTCAATGGCCTAAGTGAATTATAACATGCATGGATGAAAAATGGTCTAATACTGAAGTAGACCCAAAACATAATATTATTACCAACGATGAATACCAAATTATGGTAGTTAGTAATAATTAAAATTTAATAAACATGTTATAAGGAGCTATAATTATCATTAAAATATCAATCAAAATGATGAGATCCATACTTTAACAGTTTAATGACCCAAGATAGGTCCCAAATAGCTTGTTCAAAATAGGTTCTAAAGTTCCAGAGACACATAAAATTAAAATGTGCTCAAAATTAAAGGGAAACCAAAACAAGCTACTTTAGTAGGTCATAATGCCTAAAATTGACCTACGGATCCAAAATTGAATGATATTTAAAAAAGAATTTATGAGTTAATAATATGCTAAATCCAACCTTAATGCATGCTATTATGAATGTATAACAATAACAATAATTTATGAATATACGTAGCATGCTTGAATTTGCATATTAATATATTATTAACCCATATATCTTAAATAAATTGCAATACTTAAAGCAATTTAATTTGCATCTTAACATTAAATTAAAATTCAAATAGCAAATTAAAACTTAATATTTGCCCTAAATTGAATGATAATTTAATCATGAATTTAATGCCAAATGTTAAGAACAAACTAAAGGGCATCAATATTCCAAAACAAGCAATTACCATATATTTACCATTTTGCAAATAATATACGGTATTAATTAAGGTAATATAAAGTGGGTAATAATAAACTAAATAATTACCATTTACCAAAACTAATATGTATAAAATTAAATAAAGCAAATAAAATATATGGTAAATTAATGATAATTGCATGATCAAAACATACCATCCAGGCATCCAGGACAAAACTTTAATTTCCTCATCTCACGCACCTTCCAACTCCATAATCGGCTTTAACGCAAAGGAGAAGTGGAGAACCGAAGACACTCGTGCCGCCGGAAATTTTTCAGTAGAAAAAAATATATATATATACAAACTTGATGTATATAAAATACATTAATGTTGATTAAGGCAAAATAATCAACCAGGCAAAGATTCATAAAGGCTCTTGATACCAAATGTTAGATATACAATAGTCTAACTATATGAACCATAATATACGAGAAATCTAACCTCGTATGATAGCGGAAGCGTAGCCGTGTTGATCTCCAGCCATAGTTGATGTTCTTGTTGTGTTGCCTCTTAACGGTAGACCGTCAGCCATGTTTTGCCTCAGACCTGACTCAGAACCCTAGATGGTGTATTGGTATCTACTGAGCGGTCTGAGTACCGTAACTGAATGTGCTAACTAATCCATAATCCTGTATCCCATCAATCCAGGTTATATTAGGCACAGAGTTTGGTTGACTAACAACTACTAGTTATTAAGTCCAACTAGACCACTTAATAAGCCTAGTCAACTTGCACCACTTAATTAAGGCCCCAATATATAATATACAATATATATTATTAGGGAAAATCTTACATTATCTTCCAACTTATTTACTTGTAAATTCATCAATAAAATACTGCATCTTTGTTTTTAATTAATCTCATAGTGGATTAGTGGAAACTATTTAATATGTTTGGATGTAAATTTGGGTCTCTTTGAATTCACACATGAACTCACACAACCCTATAGTGGCTGTAGGATGTCTAATAAGTTTAAATTTTTTCTATCCAAAATATTGTGCCCGACTTTGTAGAGAACAATTGTAACACCCCCGTGTTACGACCCCTAAATTAGAACTAATCTAATTATCCCCCACCCCAAAAAGGGAATTAAAATCCATTAAATGACTAAAGAGGGGCCCACTATGGATCATGGGCCTTGAGCCCTAAAACCAAACCCCTAGTCTCATAGGAATTAGAATTAACAAGCTCATACCACTTAGACCCTAATTAGGACTCCTAGGTATGTAAATACGGACATAGGAGACACCTAGATCTAACACCACACAAGAAGTTCCAAGAATCCCCTTAGGAGAAATCAAGAAAGGAGAAATCTTAAAGAAAGACCCTTCATAGCCAAGGAAATTAATTAAGGCTAAGAGGTAACCCATGTCTCAACAAAACCTATTTTCTTCGCAATAATCTCCTTCCTTGGCCTCCTTCTATATGCTAGTGTCTTGATTTATGCTTCTATGCTATTGTGATATATTCTTGATGATTGATAAGATGATTGGTGGTATTCTTGATAATATTGATGATCTTGATGATGAAAAGAGGTTCTTGATATTGATGTAACGATTCTTGACGAATCTTGATAATTCTTGATGTTAAAGATAAATTGTGATTTTGATGATTTGGAAGGAATTAGAGCCCTAGGATGGATTGGGAATTTGTGATATAATATATATTGGGTGGGAATTCGCATGTTCGGGTGTTGTTTATGTTTAGAAGTCGTAATAGGATGAGTTATATGTAATTCTTGCTTTTGATCCATTAATTGACTACGTGGTGTCGTTAATTGCGTTTAAAAGTGTCTAAGCATGGTTTCGGGTTCCACAAAGGATCCCGGGACGAAATTGTGGTAAATAAGTCAGTGGGGGTAGGGGTACCCGCCACCTACCCGCTGCCCGAAGATCACCGTCGGCAACCCGCTGCTGGGCAGTGATCTCCGGCGGGTGATCCCTCACCCACCGGCTACCCGCTGGTTCGTGACCCACCCCCCGACTTCCCCGTTTGATGTTCCCCATTCCCTGTGGTGTCCCAACGGACCCCGTTTATCGTACCTGAGTCTAGTTTGATGTTTCGGGCACCATTCGTAGGATTAAATGAGTCTTAGTGATTGCATGCTAGTTGAATTGGTAACCCGTTAACCTAGGTGGAAGTCGTATAAACCCTTAGGACGATTCTTAGTATGTGATTGATCACACGTAAGTGTTATTATATGTCTCCCCTTCCTAATGTGCTATTATGTGCTCTAAGGTGTTATGTGATGCATGGTTTCCCCAACTTGGTTGCGATCAAGTTGGCTATACGGGCAGTTGGATGGTTTGAGAACCATACCAACTGTTAACCAGACCGGTTGCGATCGGTCAGGTATATAAATATTATATAGGGCTGCGGTCCACTGATGATTACTTATGAGCTGCGGTTCATTCTCCTGGCTGCGATCAGTGATTCACTTATTGGGCTGCGGTCCACATGGGCCTCGGTGCTATGACCCACCGGACCTCAACGCGCCAGGACGGTGTTTAGGGCCAATAAGCCGACGAAGGCTGTAGTCTACCGATCCGAGTAATCGGGGCGGTATGTAGGGCTACGGCTGGCTACGACCCACCGAGCGATGGGACGACGGTGTGTAGGGCCATAGTCTCCAAGGATCTTCGCCCACCGACAGAGTATAGCTCTGCGGTGTGTCGGGCTTGATCCGCTATGGTCCACCGGCGTACCCATCGGCGGTGTGTAGGGTCGTAAGTCCCCACTTGAAATGGGGATCGCGGTCCACCGACTGGGTGCGTCAGCGGTGTGTAGGATCGTGGTCCGACGTTGAGTTCGTCAACGGTTCTCAAAGGGTTGGTTGCGATCAACTCCCCTCATACCGCGGTACTGAGGTAGGGTGCTGCGGGCCTGTGTTAATGCTATATGCATTGACCCTCATGTTCGGGGCATGCGATTGGTCCCGTGGCGCCATCAGTAATGATGTGATATGAATGGTGATTCAATGATGATGTGATATGCATGGTGATGCAATGATGATGTGACGTGAATGGTGATTGGATGATGATGTGATATGCATGGTGATGCAATGATGATGTGACGTGAATGGTGATTGGATGATGATGTGTTTGGAATTGGAAAGTGATCAGTGACCTGAGATTTGTATTCCTTGTGATGTTGTCTCTACTTAAATGCTTATTGTTATTTGATGTGCTCATCCCTATTTGCTGAGTCTATTCCCGGTTTTAAAACTAGCTAGTGTCTCTTAAGTATATATCTTCCTGCTTCGAAATGATTTCTGTATATCTCTATATATCTATCTATAATGTATTTCAACGCGTTGGAGTGGGTTACCAGCATCTCTCGCTGAACAGATATATTTGGCTTTCAGGTACAGATGAGTAGACACTGGAGCGCGCTAGAGACTTGGAGCGTAGAATAGATAGTTTCCCTTTCGGCCTGCGTGCCATGCTTATGTATTGACATTGTTGAGGATTTTAGTTAGTTAGCCTGTGCACCTGAGTTCTCTAGCTCAGGTGTGACATAGCACCCCGTACTCTTATGATTATGTTTTGGGATTTAATGAGAATTACCCTTATTATATAAGTCTTAAAAGTTTTAAAATTTCGGGGTGTTACAGTTGGTATCAGAGCCTAAGTTTGACCCTAGGATAAGACTCTTAAGACCAGACTTTAGGACATTAGACTTGAACTCTAGGTATTCAGGAACATAGGACTCAGGAATCTTAAGACGCGCGGTGAGATTGTGAGCCTACCCATCACCATCACATAACATCCCACCACCTTATCCCCCATTACCTTAAAAGAACTCCTTTTCGCTTATCACACCAAGGTAAGGGGACAAACCCTCTAAATCGGTATAAATATTGGTTCTATAGATTAGCAACATGGCTCCAAACAGGAGACAATCAAGGACTCCGGAACACGCCGCATACGACCCCCTAACTCAGACACTACAACAACTAACCCAAGTCGCCCAAACACTAAGCGACGTAGCTCTCCGCAACAACTGCCCACCGCCAAACACAAGCTTGGAGGTCGCCCGACAGGTCTCGAACCATAGGCCGCCCACTTTCTCGGGAGAAGAAGATCCCGCCATCCTTGAGGAATGGATACGGACCTTCGACAAAATCCTGGGATTGGTAGAATGCCCAGAAGAGCGTCGTGTCGAGATAGCCTCGTTCTACTTCGGACACGAAGCAGACCTTTGGTGGATCCACGAAGGACCCACTTACAGACAAGAACCAGGATTCAACTGGGAAAATCTGAAAGCACGCCTGCGAGAACGATTCTACCCAACACACATAAAAGCCTCTATGCACGAAGAGTTCCTCCACCTAAAGCAAGGAACGGCCACCATCACAGAATACCTTAAGCGATTTCTCGAACTGGCACGCTTCGCGCCAGAATTAGTTCCCATAGAATCAACTAAAATAGCAAGGTTTACATTGGGCCTCAACTTCGAAGCCCGGAAGGCACTAATAGTAAGCGGACCCCGGACCCTCAACGAGGCTTGCTCCAGTGCTTCCAACCTCTACCGAATCCAACTACTACAACGTGGGGTTCAAGATCAGATCCGAAAAAGGAACACAGGGGGAGGAGCACCCCCAATAAAGAGGACGAGAGTTGACACCAACACGAGACCAAAAATCCAGACGGGACCAAGACCACCCCCAAGGAACAACGAAGCCAATACGGGAGGCTTCCCTTGCCCAAGGTGCAATCAAAGCCATAGAGGCAGAGACTGCATGGGAAATCCCTTGCGGTGCTTCAACTGCGGGAAAGACGGACACAAGGCCTTCCAGTGTTCACAACCCTCGAGCTCACACCCCACGAGTATGGGGCAAAACAGAAGCACCAACAACCAAGGGAATCATGGTGCTTCCGGGAAAGTATTCATCATGAGCCGCACACAAGCCGAACTAGGAGACGAGGACAACCCCAACGAAGAAAACGTGACCCCGGATGACGAAGAGCACACAAATCCACCGGAAGAAAACCAAGGAGCACACAAATCCACCGGAAGAAAACCAAGGAGGAGAATTCTGTCTAGGATAAACTAAGGAAGCCTTGTAACCACCCTTGTAGCAAACTACTAGTTTAGCTTAGCCACCTCGGGATCTTTTCTCTCTAATAAAATATAAAAATATTCTAGCATAAAGGAAGCTAAACAACAACAAAGAGTACTAATGTAACCAATGAGGATTGAACCTTAAACCTCCTACATATAAGACCAAGTTCCTAACCACTAGGCTATGGGTGTTTCTTGAAACCCAAAGGGAACACTCCCCTCTTAAACCCCCACAAATCCCTAAAAATCTCAAAACCCATAAATCAAAAACCCTTCTTCTTCCTCACACCCTCCCACTCTCACCCTCACCCTCTCACTCTTCGCACCCCACCCCAAAACCGGCGAACACCCCCACCAAACCCACCGGCCACACGCCGCCGCCACCAGCCAGTCGCCGCCCGTCAATCTCACGCCGACGACCACCGCCCAGCCGACCGCCCCGCCGTCGCACCCGGAGGTCGCCCACGTCGCGCCCCGGCCGCGACCCACTGCCCAGCAGCACCAACAGCGCGCCCAGCCACCACCACCGTGCGCCACCCTCCCCCCTTTTTCTCACCGTTCGAACCCAACAGAAACGCCACCCACCGCCAGACTCGCCGCCGGAGCCTCGCCGGAATCCCGCCAGAAGTACACCGGAAAATCCTCGCCACCAAGAAGAAACTTCACAATGCCAAAGAAACCCCTCGAAGTCCGCACCCCGGAATGGAGCAATGCCGACTACACGGTGATCGGAGGTAAAGCCATTGAACCCGATCAATTTTCTCCGGAATTGGTCGATATGCTTAACGACCAAGGGCTCTTGGATACCTATCTCACCATTGAAGGGGATACGTTCCCCGAATTGGTGAAGGAATTCTATCAACATTTGGTAGCCACCAAACGAGGTGATAAAATAGAAATCACCACTAAGGTCCGAGGCAAGGAAATCATACTTTCCGAAGGCCGCTTGGCCAAACTCTTGAAATTGACCACCACAGGGGTGTCGAACTATGACTGGAAAGGGTGGATTGATACCCAAAATACGGGGTACAAAGACTACCTCGGGTACCTACTCGAAAAAGAAGAGGGTTTCACCTCGGCCACACGGCCAAATAGGAAGTGGCTAACCGCGGAGCAAAAGATATTTGTTATGATTGTGACTGACAGCCTTCTACCCACAAACAATAAAAGCAAGGACGTGGGGAGTTTAGAGTGCGCTTTCGCCTATCTCTTGAAACACAAGATCAAGTTCAACCTACCGGCCCTCATGCTAAAACACATGGAATTTTGCAAAACTAGCAACCGACTTAGCCAGCCCTACGGGATAGTCCTAAGTTGGATCACGGAGAAAAAGGGGGTAGATCTGAGCCACACTGAGGTCAAGACTGCAAATGGCATGGTTTTCAATGCTCAGAATCTCCGTCGCAATGATATCTACTACACCGAAGGGGGACAATACATCACCCTCGAGGAGATTTGCCTTAAGCCCGAGGGGGAATGAAGGAAGTTGGTTGATCAACTAGATATCTCCAACAAGAAATTTAAACGGGCAATGCAAGAATGTGGGGAACCAGGGGGAAGCGAGGAACAAGAAGAAGATAGGGAGCCTGATCCACCAGCGCCCGCACAAGCAAGGGGAAGTCCAGGGAGGGGCCAAAACGAAGAGTCCGTCAATGAGCGCATCCTCGCACAACTCACCCGGCAGAACCAAATCATGGACGAGGGATTCTCGTCCCTAATCCGCGCAACACGCGCTTTGCACCAAAGGGTGGCAACTATCGAGGCCATGTGGGTACTCACGGGGCATCCAGCTCAGGAGAAGGAAACCAAGGTAGACACGAACCCTCCAAACCGCCACTTCACCAAAAATCTAATCTACCCCAACAAGGACAAATCGTGGAGCCAAATCTCCTAACTTGGAGGCCAAAATATGTGACCTCTTGGGGTGAAAGAATGGAATCACGCACCGGCTTCGGGGACGAAGCCTCTTTTAAGGGGGGGAGAGTGTAATACCCCATGTTACGACCCCTAAATTAGAACTAATCTAATTATCCCCCACCCCAAAAAGGGAATTAAAATCCATTAAATGACTAAAGAGGGGCCCACTATGGATCGTGGGCCCTGAGCCCTAAAACCAAAACCCTAGTCCCATAGGAATTAGAATTAACAAGGCCATACCACTTAGACCCTAATTAGGACTCCTAGGTATATAAATAGGGACATAGGAGACACCTAGATCTAACACCACAAATAATCTCTCACCACACAAGAAGTTCCAAGAATCCCCTTAGGAGAAATCAAGAAAGGAGAAATCTTAAAGAAAGACCCTTCATAGCCAAGGAAATTAATTAAGGCTAAGAGGTAACCCATGTCTCAACAAAACCTATTTTCTTCACTATAATCTCCTTCCTTGGCCTCCTTCTATATGCTAGTGTCTTGATTTATGCTTCTATGCTATTGTGATATATTCTTGATGATTGATAAGATGATTGGTGGTATTCTTGATAATCTTGATGATCTTGATGATGAAAAGAGGTTCTTGATATTGATGTAACGATTCTTGACGAATCTTGATAATTCTTGATGTTAAAGATAAATTGTGATTTTGATGATTTGGAATGGATTAGAGCCCTAGGATGGATTGGGAATTTGTGATATAATATATATTGGGTGGGAATTCACATGTTCGGGTGTTGTTTATGTTTAGAAGTCGTACTAGGATGAGTTATATGTAATTCTTGCTTTTGATCCATTAATTAACTACGTGGTGTTGTTAATTGCGTTTAAAAGTGTCTAAGCATGGTTTCGGGTTCCACAAAGGATCACGGGATGAAATTGTGGTAAATAAGTCAGTGGGGGGTAGGTGGGGGTAGGGTACCCGCCACCACCCCGCTGCCCGAAGATCACCGCCGGGCAGCGGGCAGGCGTCCGCCCGCCGGCAACCCGCTGCCGGGCAGTGATCTCCGGCGGGCAGCCGGCGGGTGATCCCTCACCCACCGGCTACCCGCTGGTTCGTGACCCACCCAGGGCCCCAGACTTCCCCGTTTGATGTTCCCCATTCCCCGTGGTGTCCCAACGGACCCCGTTTATCGTACCTGAGTCTAGTTTGATGTTTCGTGCACCATTCGTAGGATTAAATGAGTCTTAGGGATTGCATGCTAGTTGAATTGGTAACTCGTTAACCTAGGTGGAAGTCGTATGAACCCTTAGGACGATTCTTAGTATGTTATTGAGCACACGTAAGTGTTATTATATGTCTCTCCTAACTAATGTGCTATTATGTGCTCTATGGTGTTATGTGGATTAATTAATCTCATAGTGGATTAGTGGAAACTATTTAATATGTTTGGATGTAAATTTGG